GGGGGGAAAAAACCCCCAAAGAACTAAACTTTATTTTATAAAACAAAAATTCAGACATGTTCTCCTTTCTTAGAAAAGGAGTGAGGGACATAATGTAGTTGATAATAGCTTACTCTTCTAAAATAGTTAAGGGAAAATATTGGACATACTTCTGACCTTTTATTTAAATTTTATCTGACTAGCATTTTAACTGTTGCTGCTGCATAATTGATTCTGAAGCATCAGCATCTCTCATTCATGGATAGATAAATAATTCAGGGGTGAACTTTAGCCACACACTTCAGCATCACAATTTTAGAAGTTCTAATTTTCTGAATTAAAACAGTGAGGTCCTTGATTTTACAGGTGATTAACTGAATGACAGGGAAAAATCAATACATCTCTGAACAGCCATCCCACATTTCTAAAATCTTCTTGCCCACGTAGCCATTTTTAAACTTTGCATCTCTGTCTTGCCCAGAAAAATAACTGCTTTACTGATTTGCCTTCTAAAACTTCCCGGTAATAGATGCCAAGCAGTAACAACAGAACAAACAAAATAAGTGGACGTGCTGAAACCCACCTACGTGGAACACCTTGCTGTGAGCTTGTTAAGTACTGCTCTTGTTCCTGCCTGTACAGAGGTGTATGAAACACAAGCTTCTGGGACAGATCTTGGGATTCGTTACAATTTTTGTGTGTGTGTGTATATGCATATTCTTTTAACAAAGGCTACTCAATTATATTAATGTTTGTTTATTTATGCATGTAATAGAAATTGTGAGAGGTAGCACTCAGCAGCTGCTGATCACAAATGTGTTACTGTGTGAATTGGGCTGGTGAATTTTGTCAGCTTTTGCCAGATCTCAACATTGGGCCAGTATATTTGAGTTAATCATAACCATACCTAAATAAATTATTCATGTATTAGGGAAAAATAACCTTTTAAAATTTAAATGCATTTTTCAGTGAAGACACATTTGAGTTGTTTATAGTGTTTCACGCTTAGCTCTTGCTTTTATCAGTCAAATTATTTTAAATAGAAACTCCTCTTACATTTAGAGTCCACGACATTATGTGTGATTAGTGTTCCTGGAGTACTTCTGTTGTTTCGGTGGTTTTTTATTTCATTAACATTTTGTTACCAAAACTTTAAATGGTAAGGTACAACAAAGGGATACGTTATTTCTGCTATTAAAATGTCTTCTGAAATTCTTCTGCTTGCTTTTGAAAACTAAACACTGAGACTAGTTGTACTGCAGCAGCTGTATGCGCTTCTGTCTTTAGAAGTGTCATTGGATCAAACGTGTATATGCATTTATTTCAGAAAGGACGCAGGAATCTTCTGGTGTCTCTATGGAATACAAATTTAAAGGAAATATGCTCCAATATTATTGCAATTTTAGCAATCTATTATAAAGTTTATTGCACGGAAATAACTGGGTCAACCTCTGGATGACCTGTCTTTTGGAGTTTCTTCAGTTAGCTTTAGGCTAGAGCTCCACCTTGTGATCTTTCAGCAGGATACATTTCCTTTTTATAGTTAATAATTTAATTATGATTTCACGAAGTTGAGTGACTTTGGAAAGTTTTCACCGTTTTGAGAGATTTCTGTATCTGCTTTGGAAAATTAAAGTTGGAATTCTGTGAACATGCAAAAAAACCTGAAGAGCAGCTCCTTTTTATGATGCACTTCAGTTTAGATTTAACTTAGTAAAATAATCTGCTTATTAGAGTGCATTTAATAGATAATGTAGACTTTCACTGTTTGGAATGGCATCTGCAAGAATTTCACTTCCCCTTTTCCAACTGCACTGTGATGAACTTGGTATAGTTTAAAAGTTCTGATATGGACTGTTTTCCTTTCTCCTTGACTTCCCAGACCGGGTGCTTTGAATGAGTCATCGAGTATGTGCATGAGGAAGACATGACTGGCAGCAGCCTTGAATTTCCAGAAGGTGTTTACTGAGATCAAGGATAATAGGGAATGACCAATGCCAGTCTCTTCCCAAACCAAAACAAGACAACATCAAATCAAATTGGAAAGTGATAAATTCAAAGCAGAGAACAAACATGCCTCTTGGCAGTACGGAGTTTGGCTGAGTTCTTGTGTGGAATACCATTGCTGAATACTGAGTTCAAAAAGTAATTGGAAATATTAATGGCAAAAGTATTGATTAAGGGTTCTAAAATAAAGGGCAGCCTCTCTGGCTGAAAGAAATCCCAGAGTTATTTCTGGATGCTGGGAAGGTATTCAGGGAAAACATCACTAATAAGAACAAAGCAAATGTGTTCTTCCTTGAGCAGCTTCTGTTGACCTCTGCTGGAGAGGGCATGCTGGGCTAGGTTGACCCTGCTGGTTGAGAATCAAAAGTCCGTATCGTATTCTGGATGTATGTAAATCTTTTAAAATTATCCTTTACTGGAACGAATTCAAGGGTTTTTTTGGTTGTTGCTGGAGTTGGAGCTTGACGCCCAAGATCCCTTACAGTCTTACCTCACGTATTCCTGCGAGGCATTCATCTGTAGCTACTGTTTTCTGTAATACCAGTATATAGTTGCACTCACGAGGGACAAGTTTCTTCTTCCTTCAAGAAAACCAATTTTTGAAACATAACGCTTCAGCATCTAGCAAGAACTTGATATTCTAACCAAACAATGCCATGTTTTTCTTTCATGTTTTGTTGTTTGTACTAAGGTGAACACTTCTTGTAAGAAGTTCAAGTTGGTATAAACTGCAGCCAGCTAGTTTTGTCAAGTGACTTATTGGACTTGTTTGGTGTAGAGAATATATACTTTAGTCACTTACTCATCCTTTTTCATAGTTTTGTTACTAATTTTTTTCTTTAAAATATTTCTGTGACCGTAAGACACTTCAGTGAGAATTTTGGCAAAAATTTATAGGGCAATAGATTTGCTTTTTGTAAAGAGAGCTAAAATGTTATAATTCTGTGAACAAGTGGTTAACTTTGTTTTTCAGTACTTCTAAAATTTTATGGAATAGGTAACTTTAGTATCGTCAATAGGTGGTATTAATGAGCTATAATACAACATTTGCACCTAAGCATCCTGATTGTCATTTTAGTAGATGTGTTGCTTCTCAGCATTGAAAAATGTAAACTAGAAAAAGTCAAATAACATGTTGATAGGCAGGTTGAACTTGAAACTGAGCAGTGTGGTTTTTGAAGTCTGCATCTTTGCTTTGCACTGGGACTGCATCACGAGCATGCCCCAAAAAGGACTTGTGTGGCTGGATCTCCTTTTTTTTTTCTTTTCTGTTCATGCCACCAAAGAAGGGAGTTTTACTCTTTCCTCCCCTGCTCATAGCTACACAGTCTTGTGTTTCCCATGCATTGGCTCTGGATACCTACTGTTGAACCAGTTTAACTTGATAATCCAGGGAAAAAAATTCTGGAAGTTTATTTTGCCCATTTTATTGGGTAATTGAATCAAGTGATACTGAATGGCAGAGCCTACGAAGATAAATGGCTGGGGAGGGGATGTTACCCTGCCTGTGAATGATCGTTTGCTAAAGAGAGTGTGTAAATGGAGCAAGAGAGGATGAAATGCACCAGTCATGCCCATGTGGTTTTAGAGAAGGGAGGCATGGGGTGACAAAGATCGCTGCCATTCTGCAGCAGTGATGTTTCTGAAGGTTTTTATCTGCTGTGTTCTGGGTGGAACATGCTTTAGTACTTGCAGACTATCTTGAGATACACCAGCCTATCTCAAGCCTCCTCTCTTTTTGCCACTATTTCTTTCCACTCTGGTGGAATGTGTGAAATGTGAAGAAAGAGAACATAGTAAGTTCAGGGTTTATGGTTTCTCTCAGCTCTCTAAATCCTGGAAGCTACAGTGGCCCCTAGCATTCAGAATAAGCACTTGCAGGGAAAAAAAAAATTGTACAACCTCTAGTCTGCATGCTCAATTAAAATGCAGTCTCTGAAGCATAGCTACCAGACATTGAGCAACATGTGCTTAGCATGCCAAAATTAAATCTTTCCCTCAGATACCTAATCACTTCAGCAAGCTCTGGAGTCAGCAGACTTTGAAGGTTTTTCTCCTTGCTATTGTGTCTTTAAAATACCCGAACATCATGCTTTCTTAATTTATCTGTAGAAAAGTTAGCCTGGGGAGACAGTTGACTTAGAAAACTTTAGCCTCCATGGTTAAATCTGGCATTTGAAGTATCCAATGAGGTTCCCCCCGCCCCCCAACATAGGAAAATTAGATAAGTAACAAAAATCATGAATAGGTGGCAATATTATAATTAAATTGAAAAGCAAGTGTTTCACAATCTTATGTTTTATTGATAAAATACTGTGTTGTTTCTAATTTCATTCTTAGAGTCTTGTCAAATGCTTTAAATGCTAAAACTATTGTAAGCCTGGTTTATCAACTCTGGAAGATGGAATTGTGAAACAGCTGGTTGTAAGAAGTTGTTATAAGAGCTTATCTTTGTGGAAAAAGTCATGGAAGTTCACGAATCAGAGATACAGAGTTGGTGTATATAATGTCCTTAAATGTATACACACTGTGCTTCAAATTTAACATCAAATCTGGTTTTGGTTTGGTTAACCAGAAATACCCTAGCGCTGGCAAGTCTGGGCTGTGCAGTGCATGGTGTTACAGTTCAAACCTGCAAGGTGTTAATGAAAACCATTCCAGCTTGTTAATCCTATTCAGAAAATGGTTTTTTGCCAAATGTTTTTGTATTTTATTTTACTGTGATGCTTTTAAGATTTGTGAAGGTACTTTGTGTAAGATCATGGGAGGGGTCAAAAATACATAATATTTTTAACAGGAAAAAGCTTGGGTGTAAACAGGGTGGTGTGATCTAAATTTTCTGGGTTTCCAACGTTTTTACCCCTTCATATGTGGAAAAATTTTCATTGTATTTATTTTTTTATTTTTTAATAGAAGTTGTCCACTACAAAGGAAGAAAGAAAAGTAAGCTTGTACTTCAGACTGGTTTTTGAATATCTTTCTAATACAGTGGTGGTCCAGAAGATGATAAAGAAATGATAGCAGCTCCAGAAATACCAACTGATTTTACTCTCCTTCAGTAAGTATTTTAAGAATTTGTAGTTTCATTTTTAAATGTACTGGTTCTTTTTAGAAAAACTAGAAATAGCAAAACACATGTAAAAGACAGAAAGGTTCTTTCAGTTCTTTCAGGTGGTTTCTTTTTTTGCTGTTGAGTTTTTTGTCTCTCTCTTGTTTTCTGAACGTATTTGTGGCAGATATTTATAGTACTCTTTACTTTTTGAGATGGTGTAATGTTTGTCACATGCCAAAAGCAAGGTTCCCAACCTGTTGCTATTTTCTACCCACCTTCACATCTTTTGACCTTACTGTATGGCTTTCTTCTCAGGCAAATTGTTTGGAGGAGTCAGACTAGGGTGTGAGTGTGAGGATATGCTCTGATCTGTTCCTCGACAGCAGACTTAAACAGAAGAAAAGAACAGTTTCACTGTTAGAGTTGACTTACTGGACTGAGAGCATAATGTGTCTTTTATTTAGTGTATTTAGAATGTTTCTGATGCAGTGTGTAAATGCTTTTTCTTTTTATCCTCGCAGGGAGTCTGAAACACACTTCTATTCCGTTGACTTTGAGGATATTGAAGGAAAAAACCAAAAACAAGGCAAAGGAAAAGTATGTTCAGTTTATACTGTTACGAACTGGGGAGTTCAGCGCTTGCTTTGAAGCTGATGAGCTAGGAGTATTTTCCAAAGATGCGAGTGTTCTGTGAAGAGAGTTTATATTTATATTTGCATTGAAATGCTTAGTCTTGAGTATTTGCATGATATTTCCTTAGTTCTATGAAGGCATAAGAGAGGTGGGGGAGAAAAAGGTGAGCTTTGATTTGATTAGTCTCTCTACGTGTGTTCCATCGTATAAATTTGGTGCTAATACAGGTTCTTGGTTGGTGTAATTAATTCTGGCTCTCTTTTTTAATTTGGAAAGTGAACAGAAACCACTAATTCAATTAAAAGGGGTTTTTTTTTTGTAGATTGCAGACAGGAGGTTATTCTACCTGAGTGTAGAGGTCTAAGCTCGGGTACTAGCCCTTCTCTTCCCTTCACTGAACAGTCATCCTCCCCACCTGTGTGGCTCCTGCTTTCTCACTGCTTGGCACCCACCACATGTGGCTCCTGCAGTGCTGTAGCACAGGCAGGGCTGTGACCACCTGGCTGGGCACCCTGTGTGCCTGTACCAGGACAAAGTGTCCAGCTATTAAGAGGTGGTGATAAATAATTTTATACAAGAGTAATTTAATTTATGTTTAAATTTATTTTCTTTATTCTTTCTGTAAGTCATACTTGATTTGGGGAATCAAATACAAAGACTCCTATCTGCCCTTCCTCACCCCCACTTGCCAATATGTGCTCAAATTAAAAAAAAAAAAAGGTTAATGAATTACAGAGGAGACTTTGTGATGTGTGTTAAGGGAGTTTCCATAGCTGTTTTAAATAAAATCACTATAATCTGTTTTACAGTTTAAACACGAGAAAAGTCTTTGTGTCATACACTGACACTAATGGCATTTTTAGTTGCTAGAAGATTTTAAATGAGAGAAGGAAGAAATAGAACCTGTAGAATTCTCATTTGTCTTCTTATCAGTCAGGGTCAGTTGTTATTCTCAACTTTGGATATTAAATCTAGTTCTTGAAAACAAAAAGCCTTGTGTATAGTTGTCATGGTATGAATAGTTCGTGGGGTTTTTTGTTTTGGTTGGGGTTTTTTTTGTAATTACTGTGTAATACACAATTAAAACTCCTTGTGTGTGTCTGTGATTGCAGACCTGTAAAAAAGGAAAAAAAGGACCAACAGAGAAGGGGAAAAGTGGAAACGGAGGAGGGAAACCAGGTGGTCCAAATCGGATGAATGGACATCACCAACAGAATGGTGTGGAAAACATGATGCTGTTTGAGGTAGTTAAAATGGGCAAGAGTGCTATGCAGGTAAGACTTGTGGAATCTCTATGACTTGTTTGAATATACAGTTTAAATATAACAATATTTTCCTATCCATACGATTTAATAAAATGAAGCCTAAAGTAATTATGTTTCTTCAATTTGTAGTTCTTAGTTCCAGGTTAAGATTGACAGGGAAAAAAAAGACAGTTTTGCATTGAATGTGAACAAACTGATTTTTCTTTTCTAAATGTCAGGCATGAATAATCACATAGATAATGAAGAAATTCAAATTATGACTCAAAGTGAATTTTTAGTATTTTGAATGAAGAAAGGTTCTTTTAAATTACATGACTGAGAAGTTCTTTTTTGCATGGCTGTAACTAAATACAAATGTGGTTTATGCCTATAGTTGTCATAGAACTCAGCAAGAAATCTGTAGTTTGTAGATGCTCCCAGAATTTAGATTATCTGAAAAGGAGTAGTTCCTTCTCTTCTCTGACCTAAAGTAAAATCACTAGCTACAACTTAAGGGCTACTCTTTAATTTCCCCTAAATTGACTTGGCTAATGTATATTGCAACATTCTAATTGGGTGGAATTTGGGTCAGGAAATTTTAACCAGTTAAAAGCCTCCACATTAGGCACTGTCTCCATTGCATTTACTAATAGGACTAAAGTAAGTCTATTAGGAAATGTAGCTTTTAATTTTTTTTTTTAAATTCAGTTACATTAGTAAAGAGTTTTCTTGACTGTCTGTGGAATAATTACTGGAGGTAACTTAGAAATCAAACTCTGTGAATGTCCAGTGGAGAGAGGGTTAAAGTGTAAGCCTGTCAGCCATGAAGTTTGCTGACTCACTCATGTGACTCCTCAGCAGTCTCGAAGAGAGACTATCTTTGGGATTGAAAATCTAGAGTTTACAGCTCCTCTGATACGTGTGCAGGAAGTTGAGTCTATATGGAGTCCTCTCAAAATTTGCAGGCTCCTCCATTAGAGCTGGGAACCTTGAAGCCTGAATTCCTTGGCAGAAATTCATTTCAGACTTTTAAAAAAGAACAGGTTACTTTGATGTATTTGCACAGAGAAATTCTGATACTTAGTCATTTGTTTTGTTCTGTTTAAAATTATATATAGTCAAAATCTTTTGCTTTCCAAGAGCAAAATGGACCTTTGTCAGGCCTGATTACTCTTGTTGAGTTGGGGGATTGATACATGAATAATAGAGTGAATCTTAGTCAATAATTTTGTAAAAATTAAGGAGAAAAAAAAAAAGATCTCAAAGTATTTCTAAAGTAAAGTTACTTCAGCACTCGCTGTAAAAAGTTTTCTCGGTGGCCCTCAGCACTTGCCTACCTGAGAAGATGTTGATAATAATTTTAATTTAATTTTATTTTAAATTCTGTTCCATACCTTCTTCTGAGTTAGTGTCTATCCTCTGGCAAAACCAGATGGTTCAACCAGAGACAAAATGTTTTGAGAAACTACTGTTTTGCTGGAGATTCTTTAAAATAAATAAATTCTGAAAACAAGGCTGCCTGGCTGAAATATTTGTCCCATTCCTAGCATTATCCTGTTCTTCCAGTGACCTTATTTGTAAGCCTAATTTAACATGTTTCCTAGATTATTTTCCCCCCTCCACACAGATCAGTTGAATCAGTATTGGTTTGTAGGTTCTGCTCCTACTGGGAAGACTATGACAGTTTCACTTCGAGTTTTTCATTCTTTTTCTCTTGCTGATGGAAGTTACACATCAAACTATAAACATTCTTAAATTTAGGGAAGAGAGACTTAGCTGTACCTCTCTTCAGAAATGTTTCTGCCTGGCAGTGTGTTTTATCTGTCCTCAGAGCATTTCTGCCTGTGGGAATGAGCACTGAGAAGAGTACAGGTAGGAAGGATGGGAGATGCTCTGTAGTCCAGTTGTCTTTTGGAAGTTCTGAACTATTCCATCATCTCTCTTCATTTAGAATACCTCTAGATTTTAGGGGGAAGGGTATCAACATATTAAAAAACTCAAAACTAGAGCTTAAAGTGAGTCTCTTGTGTCTCTGTTAATAAAATAATGGTATGATGTATGTTTTTGACTTCTGCAGTAGACAGTTTGTACTGTACACATGGGTGGCTTAAACATAATTGCATGTAAATTCTGTTTTTTCAAAACCATTATCACAGATTTCCTCTGAATTTGCTTCCCTGTAAGGTTTTGTAGTAGAATGCTCTCTTTCCTATGTGGTTTAGTGAATAGAGAGTAATTAATATCCATGCAGAATAGGACAACGCTCTTCATCCTGTTATGGCTAACGTGCATGGAGCACGGTTCATCAAAGGGGCAGCACTTTTGAAGAGTACAGGGAATTTTGTTCTGTATTAACCAAAAACCCCCAGAGTTCAAGTTATCTGTGGAAGGAACAAGAATCACTTACTGGAAAGCAGTTAAATAACACTGACTGTCTTCAATTTATGAAAACTAAAAAGTGCCTTTATGTGTGTTTCTTTTCAGTCTGTAGTAGATGACTGGATAGAGTCATACAAACATGACAGAGATATAGCACTTCTTGATCTCATTAACTTCTTTATTCAGTGTTCAGGCTGCAAAGGTAAGACACTGAACTGTTTGTTCATTTTGTCCATTTAAGTAATACTATAGTATGATCCTCATTCTTTGCTTTTATATTACATATGTTATAGGATTGTGCCATCCCTGTGGCTAGTTTACATTTTTAGATTATTAGATTTTTGTAGTTAAATTAGTATTTCTGAAGGTGGGAGAGAGGATTTAGAAATATTATACTATATTTAAAAATGGAGATTAAGCATTTTGTATTCACACCAGAGAGAATGTGGTACTGGTACTTAACACTTCATCTTTCTCTGTTCCTGCTGTTATTTCAGAAAACTATCTCGAGAGAAAAAGAATTAAAAGATATTTTAACATTGGTAGTTCAGCTTGTTCAGTCTTGGAATTCTCATTGAGTGTTTTAAGATTGTTTCATAGCCTTTGGAGAGATGCTTGGTTTGAAAGATATTGTGGACGGCTTCATGGTAGCCTGTCTGCAGTAAGATTATATTTCCGTATTTTTTCTTCTTCTTTATTTTCTGTTTTTCTTTCCTCATTTCCACATCCTTCATTCTTTTTCCTCTCACTCCTTTTGAATAGAATAGAGTGACACTTACCCTGCAGTGTCATTGCACTTGATAGAGTAGGGCTGGGTGTAATTTGCTCTGCTCGAGCATTCCTCTGTCCTGATAAACTTTTAATGTGCATAAATCTCCAGAAAGCTAACAGCATTCCTCAGAGGTTGTCCTTGCTTTCAAGAGCAGTGACCTTTTGATTATTGTTACCAGATAAAACTACAGAATCTTTTAATGCTTTCTGAGATGATCCTTGTAATGAATTCTTCAGTATAGTTGCAGTAAACTTTAGGAGATCTGTTTGGTTTTTATATCACCATTTACACTCTTAACAATTTGAGGCTAGGACAAATAGAAATAGCGTGAAATCACCGTGTTTGTTACCAAGCAAAACATAAGAAGTAGCAATAGAGCTGTTCAAAATGATCTTACACCATTTAGAATCTCGAGTCCTGAAAGGTCACTTCAGATTATTGTAGCCTTTTGGCTAATGAAGAGGTCTGGCACAAATGTCTTTGACTTCTGAATGCGAGGGAATGAGTGAATTCGAGATCTGTGTGTACACTTTCAAAAAAGAACAATAACAAAACCCCTATGTCTATGTGTCTATATATATGTGCGTGTGTGTGTGTGTGTGTATATATATATAACCTGAAAAGATATTGGTGACAAACGCTTCTTACAGACAGATGATAAAATAAAAAATGTGTAACATCTGAAAAGATGTGTATAATACGTAGGTTAGCTGAAAATTGGTCATTTTTATATTGTAACAGGAAGTGTGTCATCTGCCTTTTTCATGTTATAAGTGCTAATAATATAATATCTACATTGTAGGAGTTGTTACAGCAGAGATGTTCCGACATATGCAGAATTCTGAAATAATCCGAAAAATGACTGAAGAATTTGATGAGGTAATTTAATGAAGTGCTGATAATGTGTTGATATTAATTCTTTTACTGTACCTGTCCTAATCATACTGGATCGTGTTACTACAGGTTTCTTTCAAGAGTAAGGTCAACTGCAAAAATGACCGGACTCATGAATGAAAATCTTGAACTCCCTTATTTCACTGAACTTGTAAGACTAGGAAGTAAAGCTCTGCATGTATATAACCTGTTTTATTAATGGTTTAGGAAGTAAATATAAACTTTCAGTTTTGAATAGAGGGAACTCCTAGTAGTGATTTCAGTATATCTGGTTATGTGTGGTTTTTATGGCAGGACTTGTAGAATGTTGTCTCTGCATATAACAAACCTGAGCTGTAAAGTAGATGCAGATTTGTGGAATCATGCTCTTCTGATGTGTTGTGTTTATGGCATTGGACATTTTGGCTTTAAAATGGTACTCATCTCTTTTGAATCTTTATTTAATAAAATAACTTTTACGATGTTT